AGAGTCGAAATATGATGAACGAATTATATAAACCCGAAGGCAAATATAATACAAGCCCAAACGAAAAAAATATAAATAAGTCTAATTTGAAAACAACGTTCAAACCTATGATTGCGTTGGATAAAAAACGCATTTTTTATACGTGTGCATGCAAAACAATTTTTTTGGTAGAGGGGTCTAAATACAGCAAAAACAACTTTTCCAAAAGACCAAAAAAGTGAAAAAGTACATTTTAACAAAACGCATTTTACTAGCAGGTCGAACAACAGATGGTCTTAAACCCTGCTGACTGCCATTGGCGATTGCCAAATAAACGGATCACCAGATGTAACAAAATAGATCTTAACTATTAATTTAATACCAAACAGAAAACAATAAACTTGCGGAAAAGATGGTATACCGCAAACAAAAGGTGCAAAAATTAGTACAGCATATCCGGATTTCGACAATTAATGTCTCTTCAGTGATGTTAGGAATCGAAACGGTATTTGGAAGGCCATATAATTTACCTCAATTTAGGATATATATATATAAGAAAATTAAAAAAAAAAAGAAATGCATAGAGGTATTCCCGTAACAGTGTGGACAACCGCAATTCTTATGTTGGTAATACTACTGAATCATTTACCTTTAACTTGTTTGTCATTGGCTATCGATAACAATGATTTTACGCACACTCAGTCTGTCAGAGGCCTTCCAGTGGGAATTTAAATAGAATAAAAGAGTAAAGTTCATGCATGTGCATGAGAAAAAGTATTCAACATTAAAATCAACACACAAGATTTAGTCCTCTGCTAGTTATTCGTATTATTTGATTTAGGCGTTTAGAACCTTTGGCGACCCCACAGTTTAAATGTCTACAACAAGTACGATGTGATAAGTGGGCGTTACAGACGAACGTTCACCTTATCTGACCCAGTCAATTGATAACCTGAGCGCGCCAAGAAATGGTCTCGTCCACAATGTTATGAAAACGATTCTATATGTCTTTGTATTAAAAATCGTTCGCATTGTCTTCATTGTTCACATTGTTCCTACCGGTTTCACTCTTCACGGAAGATATTCATGGTAAACATATATAAAATTGAGAATAGAGAAACGGGGAATGTATCAAAAAGACAACAACCCGACCTTAGAGCAGAAAACAGCCCAAGGCCAGCAATGGGTCTTCAACACAGCGAGAAAATCCCGCACCCGAATACAATTTTTCAAAATGAACGTTCACACAGTTGATTTTTTTCAAAATATTTTTCATCCATATTTGTCTGCCTTTAGAGCAGGATACGGCTGCCAGACAGCACTTTTGAAAATCATTGAGGATTGGAAGAAGGCTATTGATGATGATCAATATATTGCTGCTGTGTTGATGGACCTCTCGAAAGCCTTCGACTGCCTTCCTCATAATTTATTAATATAAAACTAAAGGCATATGGATTATCTGAATCAGCTTTAAGCTTGATAGACAGCTATTTAAGTAAAAGAAAACAATGTGTAAAAGTTGGTATAGATATGAGTACCTGGAAAGATATATATAAAGGTGTGCCGCAAGGCTCTATGTTAGGACCTGTACTTTTTAATATTTTCTTGAATGATATTTTTCATTTTGTATCAAGCAGTTCATTGTATAATTATGCAGATGACAATACTTTGTCATATTCACATTCTGATATAGACACTGTTGTAAATATTTTAGAAAAAGAAAGATTAGAGCTAATTAATTGGTTTAGTTTAAATCATATGAAGGCCAACCCTGACAAGTTTCAGGCAATAGCCATTGGCAAGAAAACTGAAAATAAAAATATTTCTTTTAATCTAGATGGTAATATCATACACTGTGAAAAAGAAGTGAAATTACTTGGTGTAACAATTGACTATCAGCTTAGGTTTGATGCCCATATTTCTAACATTTGTAAAAAGGCATCAAGACAGTTACATGTACTTAAACGTATTGGTAAACATTTAACAAAATTAGGTAGACTTACTATATATTATTCATTTATCATGTCAAATTTTAATTATTGTCCTGTAATATGGCACTTCTGTGGTGATTGTAATACCAGAAAAATAGAGAAAATACAGGAGCGTGCCCTAAGATTTATATATGAAGACTATTGTAGTACTTATCAACAACTGTTAATTAAATCAAAATTACCAAGTTTAGAAATCACAAGAATTAGATTGATAGCAATAGAGGTGTATAAAATTATTAATAAACAGTGTCCATTATATCTACAAGAACTTATTGAAATTAAAAAATGTAATTACTCTTTTAGAAATAACAACATAGCAGATGTTCCCAGGGTAAGGACAACTACCCATGGGCTACACTCATTCAGATATGCAGGAACCAAACTCTGGAACGAACTGCCGAATAAGATGAGGGAAGAAGTGCCTTTGGGTAAGTTTAAAAGTTTGATTGGTAATTGGGAGGGCAGTTCGTGTCAGTGTTCCTCCTGCAGATCTCAATGAGTTGTAGATCATTTATTTATTTATCTTGTATACTCTGGCTTTTATATTTTGATGCATAACTTTTTATTTGTGTTTTGAATGCTTGAATTATTTTTAGTGTTTTATATAATAGCTATTGCATGAATGTTAGTTTATCTGCATTTTATGTTTGCTTTATATGCTTTAATTTTGCTTACAAATTGCTGTGCTTGAAAACATTATTTATTCTTTGCATGATGTGCTTACTATTTTATGTGTTTTATGTATTGTGCTTGTCATATATGTATGTCGGATAAAAGCTCTATAGAGCTTATGTTGTATTGTTATATGTATAACCGACTTTAAATAAATCTTTTATGCTTTTATGCTTATGCTGTCTACATTGTTCACATTGTTCCTTCCGGTTTCACTCCTCATGGGAGATATTCATGGTAAGCATGTATACAATCTTTCAAAATAATGATAATAGTTATGTTGCCGCAGAAATTTCTGCACACGCCCCTTGCGATTTTGAGTGATAACCAAACGTATTTCGTATAAATACGCGGATATTATCGAGTGCTAAATAACATTCCTTATCGCTTAATATAAATTAATTTCTTCAATGAATACTCATGAAAATATTTTTTAAGAACCTAAATAAATAATATGAAAATGTTTTGTCGTGAGAAATATATATATATATATAAGTAAAAAATCATTAATATCTATGCACACGTAAAATTGTGTTTGCGGATGAATATCTCGAAAACGCATTCAGCGGCGGTGTACATATTTGTCTGGCAGGTATCAGTATTACCGCCTGTCATTTATTCACCATCCAACATAACTTGCGGGTCATCCGATGTTCAGTACTTCAGTACTTTGATTAAGACTATAATTGATGTTGTTTTGCTTTCTCATTGTCGTATCCCCAATATCTTATTATGTTCATACAGAAACAAAAGAAAACAACGATATTTTAAGAATATAGACCGATATATAAAATGTCATGACCTTTGCATGGTAACATTCGGCTATAGAGGTTAGCTTGGCTATACATGTATCTTGGTCCGGTAGCTAAACACTTACTAATTGTTAGCTGTGCTTTTGCGATGTGTTAAAAAACGTATTCACATCCTTTCTGACTGTGGATATCCATTGGATGTTGGATGTGTACTGATTGATAATTTAGTCTTAGATGCATGATTTTTTTTATTAATTGTTATTGACTTTGAACTAGCTGTCAGTAACTGCGAGTACTCTCAGATCTGTACTTAGTGTCTTTTTCAACGGTTGTTGGGATGTACAAGTAACCGTCCACGTCCACTCTGTCCACTCTGTCTTTTTTTTTAGATGTATTTCTATTTGTATCCATCTGATGAGTTCAGTCTTTTTCAACTGATTTTTATAGTTTGTTCTTATGTTGACTGTACTGTTACACCACTGTCTCAGGTTAGGGGGAGGATTGGCGCCTTCAAACTAGTTTAACCCCACCACATTCTGTATGTGCCTGTTCCAAGTCAGGAGCCTGTAATTCAGTGGTTGTCGTTTGTTGCTGTGTTACATATTTGTTTTTCGTTAATTATTTTGTACATAAATTAGACCGTTAGTTTTCTCGTTGGAATTGTTTTACATTTGTCATTTCGGGGCCTTTTATAGCTGACTATGCGGTATGGGGTTTGCTCATTGTTGAAGGCCGTACGGTGACCTATAGTTGTTAATTTCTGTGTCATTTAGTATCTTGTAGAGAGTTGTCATTGACAACCATACCACATCTTCTTTTTTATATTCAGTCTAAAACATATGAACCAGTACATGTCGTCTGGTTTTCTGAATCTGTTTGTTGCTGCTTGATGTGTTAGAATGATTTTATTACCATCATAAATTAACGTACACGGACAACAACTTAATATCGGAATCCGCAGATTATCTGTATTCATGCTAAACGTCTTATTCTCCTCTAAATATCCGTCCTACGGTACGTCTAAGAGTTAACTTTAGAATTTTATAAATTACCAGTTACCAAATGTCAAAAATATATAAATGCTTAGTAGTTTAACCAAACAATGTCAAATATTTAACATGTCATTATGGTTATTATTGTTGTTGGATTGCTGTTTCATTTACGTGTACCCCTAATCTCCTTTCGTTCATATATTTTACTCGTCTGTGTATTAATTACTGAAACATTTCTTTACTAATTAGAGTTGTAAATTATTATATGGGTAGGCAATTGGCATATTCTGCCTACAGAAAAATCTGATCCCTATTCGAGTCGACGTTGTCTGTGTATCAATAGTGAACAAATAGACACACGGGTAGCAATTCTATCGAGATTTAAATCCATAGAATTTCGAGTAGTCTTTATTTAAAACCTTGGAGGACTGGTACGATCATACGTGTTGGTTCTAGTAAGATCTCCTTCTTTCGTTTTGTAAACAAGCCAAGTTCTAATTCCAATAAAACATGGGTTGTATGTGCGTAACGTCACAATTAACATTGCAACGTCAGCTGAACGGAGATCAAAACGGATATTTGCTGTTGATCGCTGGGAACTCAAATAAAAAACATTTTAAAATTTTACACATTTTTATTTCTAGATTGTTTTTGCTTCGTCAAATCAAAATAAGATACCTTTCTAATAAACGTGATTTATGTCCGCTTCGAAGCAAAAATGTTCTGATTCATCATATTAGAATCGAAATAATTATGTCATGTCATGCTTTATGCTCAGTTAAACACGGGGAAAGCATTTTAAGTGTACACATGTTTAAGCTCGCTTACGCTCGATGTAAAGATAATGACAAATGTAATGCCTACCTATGTTAAAATGATAATAGAGCATACTATGAAAAAAACAGTTCTTAATAAGACAATTAACTTCAATGTAATTTCTCCTCCAATAACGAGGTATCCGGATATGATATCAAGTATTCCGAGAAGCAGTTTATTTAATGATCTTTAGCCTATACGTGCCTTAGCCTTTGTATTTCCTAATGCTCAGTGTAATGTTTTTATGTTGATTATACTAGATATTGTGATCATCTATAACATAAATATTCTAGAGCTTGCACTCTCTACACCGAAATCATGTTTAAGACGGAAGCCAGGGTGATAATCTAATGTACGTCGTGCGTTAAATGTCCACTCTGCTGACGGATGTGCAGTAGACTTAGTGGCACATGCGTGTTGTCTATGCCTGGTGGCAAGTAATACTAGATGGTAGTGTCTAGCATATCGAATTGCATTTTTATATGATGTTCTTATTTATATATGATGATATCGACTTTTGTCATCGGTTATAACTTCCTAACAGGAAGTATGTGTCCACTCATTAGACGCTTATTTACAAAATTCTCCATTAACGACGTCATCATAGGAAGGTGGAGCAGAACTTAAATCAGTGTACGGTGGTGCCGTGGGTTCCATGATAAATCCGGTATTTATATAGCCCCCATTTTCTTGTATTGGCCTTGGAGTTTCTGCAATATAAAATTTTAGATCATAAAATAATATCCAAAGAGCCTAGTGCGTACATATATCAGTAAGGGACATTCTACAACATGATATGGGATATGAGTTAACATTCTAAAACATGGTGTAGGATAAGGGGTTAACATTCTAGAACATGTATGATATGAGTTAACATTCTAGAACATAGTGTATGATATGAGTTAACATTCTTGAACATGGTGTATGATATGAGTTAACATTCTAGAACACTGTGTATGATATGAGTTAACATTCTAGAACATGGTGTATGATATGAGTTAACATTCCATATAGGGCATATGTTAACATTCGAGAAAATGGTATGGAATATGAGTTAACATTCTAGGATATAGTACGGGACATGAGTTAACATTCCAGATATGGTATGGGACATGAATCAATTCTAGAAAGTTTTCTTGGATATTATTCAACATTTTAGAACATGGTCTATAGGATATGATATTAGATAAAAAAAAAAGGGGGGGGGGATGTTTATTACACGTATATTTTATTTCTTTTCGGAACAAAAGCTTTCTTAAATAGACTTTTTTCACATTACTGACTGTTGACTCCGGAGTATATAATTTTTCGACGGGAAAGTTGAAAATCAAACTTAAAATCGATCTAATTTGGGAATAAATTAGTTGCTTATTGATGATTATGTCGTGTAAATAAAACATAAAACAGTCCCCCCACAAAAAAATTGCACCGATTATTAGTTTGATTTAACTTCTTTTATTTGCCCTTACTTGACCGAGTACCAGACGGTCCTACCACATAATAGGTTACCTGTCGTAAAAATAAAAATTCTGGAGTCAAAAGTCGGTAATATGGAAATATCTATTATTATTGCTCACTTACTTTATCAAAAACATTGCAATCACAAAAAAAGTAAGACAATTTTCATAAAAAAATGTGTTTTCATCCCTTTGCAGATAATATGACATAATACTTGCCTGTTGTATTTCCATTACTAATATGTGACACTGATGACACTGTTGGTTTATCTTGATAATTTTCTTGTTCAGTTGAAGTATTTCTCCTTATTGCATTACAAATACAGATAACAAAAATCAAAAACAGACACACGCCAACAATACTGCCTGCTATTATCCCAGCAAATTCTCCAGAAGAGCTAAAATATATTAACATTGAATAATGTAATCGTTGTGCATTGAATATTGTATTGTCTTATTAATGGATTGATTAATTGGGGTTGAACGCCACTTTCAGCACTATTGGATTTTTCGAGGCGGTCATTTTTTCATTGGTGGAGGAAGCCGGAGTGCCTGAAGAGAAACCACCGACCTTCGGCAGGAAAAAAGGCAATCCTAGTCAATTAAGCACCTGCCACGTGCGAGGTTGGAACTCGCAACCTCACCGTTGACAGGCTAGTGATACATTAGTTCCACTACTTTTTTTTCTTTTTTCTCTTGATAAAATTTAATTCAAATATGTACAATAAAAATTAAGACCACTTGGCCACCGAGGTCCCTTTTATAAATAGAGGTCAAATAATTTATATTCCTTCAATAATATTGTTTAAAGTCGTTTTATTGTCCGTTGTCACCGATTTCTTACGTTCGAACAAATGAACATAGAATGTCTCCGTATATATCTGATTTACATGTAGATTAATCGAGTGATAAGAACGACTTATGAAAAAAAAGGAATATTGCTAGACCAAGATTTAATTGAAAAGTTGCGACGAAAATTTAAGGATAAACACACACACTCAAATAAAAACTCCTGGCGTTCATACTTCGGTAGCATGATTATTATTTCAATTTTCTACATATTAAAATAACTTCTTTTTCTTATTTTGATATTAGCTTAAACAAACAATTTGAAACAACGTACTTTTTGTATAGAATTGAAATATTATATAGTTCTCTAAACATAGTTATACTTAACGAATTTTATCGACACAGAAAAGATTTATTTTTTACGATTGGAAATTGACACTATGTGTAAAAATATCAGTTCAGTAGTGTTATACATGTATAGCCCTCACGGAACATAAATAAATGAAAACGTGTTGAAAAACTGTTGTATATAACCTTTAATGAGTTTACATGTATGACAAAAGGAAGGAGGGTAATCATTTTTCTTGCTTGAAAATATAGTAACATTTACACCGTGTTTTTGTTTTTGTTTTTTAATTTCAGAATTAATTTCACGTTAGTTTGAGATCTATTTGTTATGTCGAACCAATTTCTGTAATCTTTAAATCGCCTCTGTCCATAAACTCATCATAGATACCAGAATCCTCCACAAAAGACTCGTCAGTGACACTCGAATCACAAAAGTTAAAAAGGACACATTTTATCACTCAAAGCTAATGCCAACATATTTCATCGAAAGGAAAAATACTGAATAAACTTACAAAGTGCTCTCGTTATCTTCAGTGTTTTCGTCAGAACAATTGCGGCCGTCAGAACACTCATCAGACTTACAGCAATCTGAAAGGCAAGTGGAATTTGGTTAAAAAAAAAAGAACCATTTGATAAACTCGGGGTTAAATTGACATTCCTTGTCATGAACAAAGCAAGTTAAATTAATGTCATATAAACAGTAACTGTTATCTCCTGACTAATTTGAAACTAAATTGAAGTACATGATATTTGTAAAATAAATAAATAAATGAATAGATAAATAATTACTCTTCCCTACATAGATTTTTTTTTAAATATGAAAAAGTCAAATATGTCACTTTTTTCATTTGAATTAAATCTATTGTATTATATACTGACTATTTTTGTTATTCCCATTTTCAAATATGCAATTTAAATGGTAAAATAAATGAATAATCATTCATTTCATTCATTTCTTTATTGACAAAAAAAGTTTGCAGTTCGAAAGATGAATTGATGACGTCATTTTCGTCAAATCATGTGGTATGCACTGAAACCCTCGTTTTCTCCTTAACAATTAATGTGTCACCGCCGAAGGCAATGACTGTCTGTAACCATCGCCAAAATGATTGTCAGAAAGGTCAACCAATTCTGTTGGGCATGTTTTGAGTTCTGTTTTGTACCTTCTGATTTTGCAACTGTCCCAAGCATTACATCGTGTTTTGGCTATTAAGGGGATTAAAATTTAGAGCTTAAAAAGTTTTTCTGCAATCGAATCTTTGGCATATCAGTATATGGGAAACATTTTTGGCATGGATCTGTCTGGCATGGCATTCGGCGATTAGACTAGCAGTTGACGTTGCAGGCTGTAAACATGTCTTGCAAATGACGTTGCATAATCCAATTTTATTGATATGGCGTTGTCAATACATATCAAACGGGTAATGGATGGTCATCAACAAATCCCGTCTGTCTGTACCGTTGTTGTAAGGACAGTAAGACGAGTTTCTGACGTGAAATTGTCTAGAAACAGCACGTTTACGTATTCCTGCCTGCAAAATTCGTATGCCTCATTCAGATTTTCATTGCTAAGTCCCGGCAATATGAAGATTCAACATTTTTTTAATGATTCAAGTGTGAGTATGGATTGAAAGAATTGTTTCGCGAAATAAAAAAACTTTAATAAATCATTTATGGATTTCAAATTTCGCTTTTAGAAATTCGTGTCACTTCGAAAATCTGGTATGTTCAATAACCTCAGGTTAGTCAGGTATTGACTTTTTCTAAAGATAAGGAAGTATGGAAAGCATGAATAGTAGTTCTATGAGGATCAAGCATGATTTGGTAAAAAAATACCAAAATGTGTGTTGCGTTTCTAAAGTCCAACAGTATATATTCATTGAAAGCCGAGCAAACGGATTTTTAGAAGGAAAAAACTATTGCACTAGAGTTCAGATTCGTGCTTGTCTTGTTGTTCTGAATTAGTATTTACGCCAATAATGCAACGTGATGCACCTAACAAGATCTAAAACCCCCATAAAAGAACCCTATTACATGCATGGGAAACAACTAGAAGCAGTCACAGACACGAAATACTTGGGAATAACAAACAAAGATGACCTTAGCTGGAACCTACACATAAACAACATTGTAGCCAGTGCAAACCAAGCACAAGGGATGCTCAGCAGAAACATCAAAAAAGCTCCACAACAAACAAAAACCAATGCTGTCAATGCACTTATAAGACCAAGAGTGGAATATAGCGCAGCCATATGGGACCCCTATACACAAGAAAATATTGACAAAATAGAGCGAGTACAAAGAAGAGCAGCTCGCTATATATTCAACGACTACAGTAATGAATCGAGTGTCACAAGCATGATAAGCAAGCTTAACTGGATACCTCTCTACCAACGAAGGGTGAACATCAGATTATGCCTATTTTACAAAATTGTAAATGGACTAGTAGCAATTCCAACAGATACTTACCTAATTCCACTAAATAGAACATCAAGACACTACAATACCATGGCATACACCATCTTCAGCCCAAGACATGATTACTACAAATTCTCATTCTTTCCAAGAACAGTAATAGCCTGGAATAAATTACCGGAATCGACAGTGAAAGCTCCCACTATCGAAGCTTTCAAGACACTGGTTACCTAGATGATGGAATGTTTTTATCCTGCACCAACTGTACAGCATGCACCGTATTTTCTTTTTTGATCCTTGATCTTTTATTGTAAATAGACATTACCAACACCTACGTAACGCACAAGTATTGAGTACTCATTATTGAGTTTAACTACTATATCTAAGAAGAAGAAGAATAACACCTGTAGTATTTTCAGTATACTATAACCGGGGTTAGAGATGGAAATGACCGGTTTTGGTTTTGTCAGATCACTTTTATTTTTTCAGAGATTTTCCCAATGAAATTGCAAGTAACGAGGATGTTTCAACAAGTTCCAAAATTATTTGCTCCATTTCTTTTGATTAATTTTAATTGGTTATATCCGGTTATTCCAGGGAACTTATCTACTACTGATATAATGTTAACGTATTATGTCATGTGGTCTATATAGACCTTTGAATGGACTATTATTGTCCTGTGTACACCTTCGATCTGAAAAGTACATTTTCGTGTACATTTAACTAAACTAAGTAAAATACACTAAATCGTATAATTTTATATAATAATTTCTTATGGTCGTTGTAGATTGACCTCATAACACTATACAATAATATAATAATAAGTACAAATGTATGTATTACATATGATAAATTGTTCCTTGAGGGCTTGGGTAAAGTCGTGTAACAGAAAATAATGTAACATTATATATGAAAGGTAATTTTTGAGACATGCAATATTATATAAATGTACCTTTCTTTAGGTATTGCCTTTATTCAATAAAAATTTTACTTCGATGATATATATTATTTCAATGTGTTCCGGCAGATAGATAACCTGATCTTTTCACTTCATTCAAGTTAAACTTAACTAATCTACTAGTACAATTATAGCAAAAATTAACTTTACAAATAAATAAAATACGAAATCTCGGAAAACTAAGTTAAACAATTATTAATAAGAAGACGATTTATGAACTAAGTCTTACCAGTTAAAATTGATAAAATCAAAATTCCTAAATAATATTGACGTTGTCCTAATATATCAGTCGCCATTTGTATTTACATACAATGTAGATAAAGGACAGGTAAAACTTACAAATGGCGTTAAAACTAAGTAAGCATGAAGTATTTATTTATCGTCTAATGTATGTACATGTGACATTGGGTACGCTGTACATAATCATATTGCCACAGTGGAAAATCTATTGACAAAAATTATCGCCTTTTTGCAAACACAAAACAAATTAATCTCTTCAATATTTGGTATGTTTTCTGAAAAGGCGCTGTAAAGTTACGAGTTCGAAAGAATACGTTCTGCTAACTAGTTAGTAATAATGTAAACAAATAAAAATTAAAAAAAAACACAGTTATCATATAGTTTTATCATATCCCTCTAAATAAAAAAAATAAAATGTGGTCCGATTGCCAATGAGACAATTTTCAACCAGAGATCAAATGACATAGAAGTCACCATACGGCCTTCAACAATGAGCAAAACGCTTACCGCATTAATAGTAATTAAGTTATAGTAGGCTCCGACATGATAAATGTGCAACAATTCAAACGGTCTGATTTGTGTATTAAACAATAAACGAAAAACCAATATGATACACAGCAACAAACGACAACCACTAAATTACAGGTTCCTAACTTGGGACAGCCACATACAGAATGTTGCGGGGTTAAACATTTTTTCGGACGCCAAACACTCCTCATAACCCGGTACAGTGGTGTAACAGTACAACATAAAAACAAACTATAAAAATCAGTTGAAAAAGTTTAACTCTTCAGATCGATGCAAAGCACAAAAAAATAAGAAATAACACAGAAGACACAAAGAACAGATCTGAGAGTACTCGCAAAAAAATTACTAAAAGATAGTTCAAAGCCAATACCAACTAATATATTTTACGTAGAAAATAGCAGGCTATAGGAAGTTTATGTAAAATTGGTTTAAAATGTTGCAATGCGAAAATAATTATCCTCATGTATCAACCTAAATTTATTTTTTAGCGGCAGTAGACGTTACAAGAATACGCCATTTATATCTAAACCAGAAAAATACCGGAAAAATCTAAAACAATCGTTCATATGCTGCATTTGAATTTAGTCAATTGACACATTAAAGCGGACCTGATTCCGACTAAGTAGAACACTCTGAAAATCGGACTTTGGAAAGAGCTTTAGATTCTGTATGCACTTTAGTTCTATTTTTTTTTTATCACTACGTATACGCAGCAAAGATTACTAAAAAAAAATCAGTGTAACAAGCATTGAATACAATTTTTTTCTTTCGATATTATAGAAAAAATTACAATATAAAATTGAGAGGGGAAATGGGGATTGTGTCAAAGATACAACAACCCGACCAAAGAGCAAAAAAAAAAACAGCCGAAGGTCACTCATGCGTCTTCAACACAGCCAAAAAATCCCTCCCCCGGAGGCGGGCTTCAACTGGCCCCTAAACAAAAATGTGTACTAGTTCAGTGAGAATGGACGTCACACTAAACTCCAAAACATATAAATGAACTAAAATTAAAAAAAACATACAAGACTAACAAAGACCAGAATTCGTTGGCATAATACATGTAACAAGATAGGTATTCAGTTGTAAATGCGACCAAAACTCTTCTACTTTTTTTTTTTGCATCTTAAAGTCAAACATGTAAGGCCTTTAATCTTTTATATTGTTTAGTTAGCACTCCAATACAAATGAATAGGTCGTATGTAAACAAACCTTTCTTGATGAAGCAAATGGTCTACCACTTGCGACGAATGGCATATACGACAAACCGTTTTTGATAAGTATCTCAAAATTAGAAATTCAACAAAAATTAAAATTGAAGATACTGAATGTACCTTTTAATTCTTTGACGACGAATTGTGGTTTAACGTCTTTTGGTCAGTCTGGTTATCGACATAAATACACTTCTATAGTTAAAGGTTCACGATAATCGTGTTATTAATGGGGCATTTGTAATATGTCGCGGCTGCTTTCTGAATATCTTTGCACGTTCAACTCTAAAATAGACCCTGAAGCACTGATCGACGGTAGTAGCTATAGATATAAGAAGATGTGGTATGAGTGCCAATGAGGCAACTCTCCATCCAAGTCAAAATTTATAAAAGTAAACCATTATAGGTCAAAATACGGTCTTCAACACGGAGCCTTGGCTCACATCGAACAGCAAGATATAAAGGGCCCCAAAAATTACTAGTGTAAAACCATTCAAACGGGAAAACCAACGGTCTAATCTATATAAAAAACGAGAAACGAGAAACACTTATGAACCACATCAACAAACGACAACTACTGAACATCTGATTCCTGACTTAGGACAGGTGCAAACAATTGCAGATGGTTTAAACGTTTTAATGGTACCAAACCTTCACCCTTATCTGAAACAATAGTGTAACATCACAACATAGAAAGACACACTATAAAATATCAACTGAAATGGCTAAACTTAATCAAAGGACATATTAACACCAGTGAACATACACTGAACAAATAAATTTGATCTATGATACAATGTAAATACAAAATAAATAAACTAAGGGAAGAATAATAAAAGTAACATGTTATACCGCTGTGAAATGTTAAACAATTTAAAAAAAACAATATGCTCGAACAAAAATATCAGCCATTTGCAATTACTTTAAACACAGGTAAATGAAAATAATTTTGTTGTTAGGTATACGTGTACAGTTCAAATAGAGAAAGGAAATATTTTTACAAAATAAATAATTTTGATGTTCATAGTACGAAGTGAAAATTTATAGTTATACCAAACACTTATCAAAGCTGGTATATAGACCAAATATAACCCTGAATAACATTAAATAATAAAAAAAGCATTACAATTAGTATCAACAGGTCAAATAAACAAGAAAGTACGATTTGAGAGTACTCGCAGTTACTGACAGCTTGTTAAAAGCCAAAAACAATTAATAATAAAAAATCATGCATCAGAGACTAAAATCAACTAAAACACATCCCAGGGATTTAGTATTTTAACGTCATGGACAGTCAAAGAAGGCATGGCTTGTGCAATGCCAAAAATAAAAGTATCGACAGGCAGTAGGATAGTTAGGAGTTAACCTCTTTATAGATCAAAATGAACGTGGGTGTGTCTTTATACATCCCGTTTGAAAAGAATACAAATTTAGTTATGTTTGAATTTGCTGATGACAAAATCGATATAAGTGCCAATGTAAACTATATTCAAAGATCTAATTACAACATTGGTAAGATAACCTTTACTAATAAGTTTGTTTAAAGGTTCGATGAGTTTACACGGATCACATAGTAATTTCCACGCTTTAAGTACAATATTACCGTAAAATTTAGGATGTGAAATACCGTTTTTAATCAGTTTTCTACAGGTACAGCCAAATTTACCAATCAAATCTTTGTATCTATGAAAGAATTTAGTAAAAGTTTTACGTAATTTATGGTAACGAAATCCCTGACTTAATAATTTACCAGTGATGCATTGATTACGTTCGTTAAAATCTATGACATCACTACACACGAACGAGTTGGGATATCTAAACACCGTATGATGGAGCCAAAGGAACATCGCCGTCTAAAAAAGGAATATTAACAATAGGGAATGAAAAGTCTATCTAGTTAGTTTTGCGACTCCAAATGCCGCATCTTTAACCAGGGGTTGACTGCAGTTTCATTTCTTTTTTTTATTTGAAACATTGATGTGTTATCGTTTGATCATGACAATGGTTGCTTTGAAAGGAATTATGCATTTGTCTTCTAGAACACTGAACGTACGGTGACCTGAAAATTTTCTTATATCTGTGTCCGTTGTGTCTTTTGGGGATAGTTGTCTCACTAGCTTTCATACTAAATCTCGTTATTTTTATCCTTAATCAATTTTGAAAATACAAATCATGAACAATAGCATTAACTGTAAACAAAGTAAAAAAAAGTGTCTCTGGCTATTCTGGCATCATCCAAGTTGCCATGTTGTATTAAATTCGTACTTCAGCAGTTCTAATTGCTGTCTGGTATCTTTGAAACAAAAATGATTGATATGATCTGTTTTTTGGTTTGAAATTAACATTTGGAATTATTTTGATAAAATCGATGTTGAATAAATTAAATTGTAAAATAAAATAAATAAATACAATAAGACTAATATTTATAACTTTGGATCAATTAACATAACGATCATAGTCGCACTGTCACATCTGCATCTACG